CCATAATTCATCAAACTCTCATCAAACATCGGGTACACAGCACTACTTCTCATGGATAACTATCCATCATTCATATCCATTCCATCACAATTCTTCATATATAGCATATACATGCATAAAAGAAATTCTCTCACATTCATCCAAACTCTCTTTCTCTTTGTCTTTAATGTTCTCTATATGTGATGTGCATGGAAATATGCTCATTCTTTGCTATTCTTCTAAATGCAAATGTGAGAATGTGAGAATGCATTATGGCATATAAAGATATCATTATGGAACTATATTCTCTACCAACAACATTCCCATACTTGAAATCAATATAGATTATTAGACTAAAATAACTAATAATTGGAGGTACTTTTGAGTAGTCATTCTGCACAGTCAATTCAAGAAGGCATATCTCGAGCTATACACATCAAATTTCTATGATCTGGTCTCATTTTAAAGCTTGGAGAAAGGGCTACAACTTTTATGTTTAGGTCTCAACCTAGTTTGATGGGTAAGATGCTCAAAAATCACTCATAATGCACGGATTTGACAGGGCAATCATGGTAACATGTTTTCTCTTAGGACTTTCTCAAACAATTCATATGCCATGCTACATCATGCTGGCTACACTTCCAACACTCTCTAATTCAACCAAATTGTGAGCCAAAAACTCACTAAATTGATATCAAACCTGGCACAATTTCTCACTTCTCTACACTCCAAAAATTTCAACACAAAATCTTCCACAACTTCACCAAATTATCACATAACCATACACTACTTCTCATGGCTAGAATTATATCACACATAATATAAAAACAGCACATAATTCTCTCATACCATCACATACAAACATGCAAAAAAATTCATCAACAAGTCTTGCTCAAATTAAGGTTCAAATTACGTTACTTACCTTGAATTTGAGCAACTCCAACACTACACTCTCCTTTGGTAAATTCCCTCCTTCTCAAACCCAAGCTACAAAATAAATTCAAAAACTTTAAAATTTAATCTAACTCTTGGTGCAAGAATCTTACCTTTGGATCTTAGGATTGAAAATATATCAAAAGTTAGGCAAAATCCCAAAATCCTAAGCATATACAACCATAAGATCAAAACTTTAAAATTTAATCTAACTTCTTGGTGCAAGAATCTTACCTTTGAATGCTTGGGATTGAAATATATCCAAAGTTAGCCAAATCCAAAATCCTATAATTTCCTTGGAAATTATGAAGAAATTTGAGAGAATTTGGTAAAGAATGGCTTGAATTGAGGGTGAGTGCTACGGTTTCTCTTCTTCAACTCTTAATATCATAATAATATATATATATATATACATTATATAATATATATATATATAATATATATATATATATCCCATTTTACCCTTGCACTTCTATGAAACTCCCTTTTGCCTTAGTCAATTACCAAAATTCCCTTATTTTTATTAACTTCCCATGTTATTCTATCTCTTTTCACTCCCCACTTTTTCAACTAATTATGAGTGAAATACAATTTTACCCCTAATGAAATTTTAGGGAATTTTCTTCACACTTGTTCAAGATAACTTTAACAAATTCAACTAAGGGTATTAGGGCATAAGTAAAGCTACATACCTCGATGTGGGCGTTACACCCATATTTACACACCCTAAACATGTTTATTTTAGGGCTTCGTTGGGCCCATATTTTACAATTCAAATTATTTTAGGGCTTCAACCTTTTATTGGCCCAATTTACGCAGTTCAAATAGGTTTATTTTAGAGCTTTAAAATCTTTTGGGCCTAGAATTTTCAGGCCCTTCAAACAGTGTAACTGAGGACTTACACCGTTATTTCACAATTGTAATTTACACAGTTTAGAACTTTAACGTTGGGCTTTACACTGTTGTTGGGCCCAAACTTACATAGACCCACCGACACACAATTAAAACATCTATTAAGCAACAAACAACATAGTGATCAAAACTATGCATTGTAATTAGTGAAAAAGCAAAAAAAAAAAAAAAAAAAAACAAAAAAACCATAGTAGTTCAAACATGCATTCTCAATGAAATGTAAGTAAATATGAACCCTAACTGAACTGGGCCAGTTACAATGTCAACAAACAGCAATCCAACCTCATGCAGTTGACATCCAAACCATGATTCAATCCCTAAATTTATATACTCATCAAAAATTTTACAAATGCTTGAAAAAGGGATACACAACACAATAACAATCAAAGCATGAGATACCCACATTATTAGGATGCAAAAGAATTCCACTCACTGACGATTCTTGTCTCTCCACCTATGTTTTCTAACCACTTGCACGAAAAAATAACAACCAAATCATCAACCATACATATATATAATATTATATATATATATATATATAGAGAGAGAGAGAGAGAGAGAGAGAGAGAGAGAGAGAGAGAGCAATGTAAATTTAATGTCAATTACAAATTATTCTCTTCGATACATAAACATACAAAACTAGTTACAACAGTTAAATCATTACAATTTTCACTGCATGCAAAAAATAAAATAAAATAAAAAATAAAAAATTAGGATCACAGAATGAAAGAAACTGAAGTCCAACACTATATCAGATTTTTAAAGAGATGTAAAAAGAAAGACAAATACAAATACCACATGACATAATAAGTTGAAGAATATACAATCAACCCTAACAAGAGTCCCAATCAAACAAGGAAACAAAATCCTAATTAAAAACGAAAATTAATTAAAAGAAGAAATCCTGACATGAGAGGGAACTCTAAATAAATCATCTAATAAAGCATCATAAACAAAGTGACCATAACTCAAGGACGGTACTTTCTCTGTGATTTTCAGTAATGAAGTCTTGCTATTACACTATTGACTAGTGCAATAACATGAGATCCTTGACGAATAACACTGACCTCAGGAGTCGGGCCCTTTTTTCAAAACTTGCTAATGTTATCCTTAACCTAACAAATAAAATCACAGTGTTTTTGTTAACAAACAATATCATCAAATCATCTCAAAACTAACCTATTCTCCTGCCATAAACCCTATTGCAAAAGACAACGACAAACATACTTTTTTCTTTTTTTCCATAAACCCTATCTTACACAAAAACAACGAACACATATTTTTTTGCCATTAATCCAATTGCAGACGAGAACACAAAAAAAAATGTAGAATTTTATCCGTACAACCTATAGTCAACTTAAACTACAAATCAACAAAGGAAGATGACTACATCCACAAGTTCAAATAGTTGCAAACTTTAGCCTATAGTCTCAACGATGAAGCAACTCATAAGTCTCAAGTCAGTCATCACTCGAAGTCGCCTATCAAACTCATTGTTTGCCGGAAAAACTCTACGATAATAGCACTAAACTCTTCTTTTCAACACCATGAATGAACCCTAGACACGACAATCGCCAACAATCAATCCAACCCCTTAGTGTAAATCGCCATTAACAATCATTGGTCGCCTTAAAAATCACAAGAATGCAGTCAACGTTTGTCAGACGAAAACCCAAGAGTCTACTCTACCAAGATATGCAAAAGTAAAATGACTTTTGCTTTTCTTTTTTCTTTAGGTCAACTTCCTTGGACATGTGTCATCGCCCCAGCCCTATGATTCCCCATATTGCAATTTTAAATTTTGATTTCCTATGCAAAGTGTCAACTGATCATTTTATCCTTACTTACAAATGACTTATGACCGTACTATCCTTTATTACAATGAAAACTGTTAACAGAATTCTGCTGCGGGTAGTAAAAGGGTATTTAAAACGTGGGTGGGTATAAATTTGTCAATAGGCCATTTTTCTGGTGGGAACATGTTGTTAACTCATATCTCTTACATAGATTTACAATTTTACGTACAAAGTGATATATTAAAAGATAATAAAAGGATGAATATTAAAAGTCAAAACTTATTATATATATTATTCTATTCATTTTCTACACATCATTTTGTATGCATAATTTTGTAAAAGATCTTTGTATGTGTAGTATTATTTGTTCTGATAGAAAAAATATTAGTTATTACAATTTTCATTATGGGTTTTTTAGTATATCCATATAGTTTTGTTGAATTTTCTAATCGCCCCTAGTATTGAAAATTTGACCCTACCCCCATTTCTGTTAAGTAAAAATTCGTTAAATATGTGTACAACATTTTTCCCTTAAATTAATATTTCATAATCACCCCAAACTCATTACATTTACATTTATTTAATCAAAATTTCCAAAGTTTTGTTATTTATGCAACAAACTTTGCAAAGTTTCTCATTCACCCCTCAAATCTCATAAAATAGAAGTCAAACTTTGAAAATAGAGAAAGAAAAAAAAACTTATTCATTCTTATTCACATTAAATAAAAATACTAACTCTAGATATCTTGATAACCCTAAGGATTATCCTGACTTTTAAAATTTTAAAACTAGATAAATGCCTAGATAATTCCTAAGTTTTCACATTCTAATATTAGGAATTCAACACTCCCCCTCAAGCTGATGAAAACATGTCTAACATTCCCAGCTTAGAGATAACACTATCAAAACTTTGTCTAGGAATCCTTTTGTAAGGATGTCAATGGTTTGCTGGCTTGTACGTAGATATATAATAGACAAAAGCTTATCTTCTATCTATTCTTTGATAAAATGGTGATCTATCTCGACATCTTTGGTTTTTTCATTATGAACTGGATTGTGTGCAATACCAATTGCAGCCTTGTTGTCACAATAAAGCTTCATAGGTTCTCACTCTTGATTCCCAACTCAACTAATAATATTTAAACCAGATCATTTTGCAAATACTTGTGCGACTGCCTTAAACTCAACCTTTGCACTACTCCCTACTATTACAGCTTGCTTCTTGCTCATCCAAGTCACCAGATTTCCTCAAACAAACGTACAATATCCTGAGGTTGACCGTCTATCACTCATTGAACCTGCCTAGTCTACATTTGTGAAAGCTTCCACCTTTCTTTCATTAGTCTTCCTAAAGAATAGTCTTTTCCCAAGAGTTCTTTTCTAATATCTTAAGCTTCTATTTACAACCTCGAGATGCTTCTCTTGTGGATTGTTCATGTGTTGACTTACAACACTTACAGAAAATGCTATATCAAGCCTAGTATGGGATAAGTATATCAATTTCCCAACTAGTCTGTAATACCTCCCTTTAGCAACTGGTGTATCTCCATTTATCTCAACAAATTTCACATTCTGTTCAATGGTAGTCTCGATAGGTTTGCAATCTAACATTCCAATATCCTTCAATAAATCCAGAACATATTTCCTATGAGACACATAAATTCCCTTCTTATTCCTTGCAATCTCTATGCCTAAAAAATATCTTAGCTGCCCCAAATCCTCTATCTCAAAGTCCTGAGCAAGAACTTTTTTTACCATATTCATTTCTTCAAAATTATCCCCTATGGGGGCATTTGGATCATATAATGTTTTATTATAGAGGGATGTTATATTAAGGGAAAGATAGATCACGTTGAAGATTATTGGGAATGTTTAGGAAATGTGTTTGGTTCAAATAAATTGGTGAATAATATGTTTGGTTGGGAGGATAAATTGGTGGGTATGTTATATAGATTACTAAATTGCTCTTTTTTTTTTAAATATTAATATAATATTATTTTTTAAATCATTTTTTTAACCCCCTACATTTGAAATTTTGCTAAAACACCCTAGTCATATAAAACTTTAATTTGTACGAAAATCACCCCCACCCACCCCAAGCCACTACCAGCAGCCAACCACCATCATCGGCCGCTGCCCATAGTCGACAGAATGGGGCACAACTAGTCGTATATGGCCGACCATGCACCGACAAAGCCATTTTCGGGCATGGATCACAAATCCATGGCTATTTCATGACCAGATCTATGGCCATTTCACAACCAAAGATGTGGTCGTCAAACGGCTACAGATCTAGTCGTGAAAATGCTAGATCTTTAGCTGTGAAATAGCCATAGAAATGGCCAGATCTAGCCCCAAGCTAGAAAAGGCCTTATTGGTACACGACCGACTAGATCCCATCAGTTGTGCACCATTACGGTGACTAAGCCAATGGCCAATGATGGTAACAGCCGACAGTGGTTTTAGGTGGTTGTGGGTATTTTGTTAACTTTTAAACTTTTTTGGGGTGTTTTAGATCATTTCTCAAATATAGGGGGCTAGGTTAATTGTTATTTGGTAGACATTTGAGGGCAATTGTGTCTGAAATGGTACTTGATTAAAGGCAAAATAGGTATAAAAATCAGATTACCCGGTAATCTTTTAATCTTAGGGGTGAGAGAGGGTATCAGATTACCCCCAACATCACCAACAGTAAACACTATTTGTAATAAAAGATTCTCGTAATATTTTATTACTTCCAAACCAAACACCAAAATCTTGCAAAATAAATGAAGATTACCCCCATTATCTTATATGCGTTTGATCCAAACGCACCCTATAAGAATAATATCCTTAACATATACTATTAAGATAGTAATCTTACCACCCTTATTCTTGAAAAATAGTGCATGATCAGCATGTCTTTAAATAAAATCATAACTCCTTATAGCCTTAGTAAATTTCTCAAACCAGGCCCTAAGAGACTGCTTCAAACCATAGAAAGATTTTTGCAGCATGCACATTTTCCTGTTAGCCTGATTTCCTTCAAAACCTGGTGGCAACTCCATATAAACTTCTTCTGCAAGATCACTATTCAAGAAAGCATTCTTAACATCCAATTGTTGCAAGGGCCAATCTAAATTTACAGCAAGAGATAGAAGCTACAAGAGTGAAAATCTCCTCATAATCTACTCCATAGGTTTGTGTGAACCCCTTAGCTACCAATCCTGTCTTATATCTCTCAACTGTTCAATCTGCCTTATAATTCACTATAAAAACCCATTTGCAATGAACAATAGTCTTCTTTTGATAAGCTCAACATCTCCCAAGCCCTATACTTTTCCAAGGCCTCTATCCCTCCATTAGAGCCTCTCTCCATTTGGGATCATCCAAAGGCTTCCTATACTAACTTTGGAGCTTCTGTGGTTGAAAGATTAGTAACAAATGCATGAAAACTAGAGGACAATTTATCATTGAACACAAACTTAGAAATAATATGTAAAGTACAAGATCGAACTCCTTTTTTAAGAGCTATAGGAAAATCATCTCTTGATTCAGACTTACTGATAGGCAAACCTTTTTCAACTAGAGATTGTGAGTCAATGAATTCTTTTGGTTGGGATAATTGACCTTGCAAGTCATTAAGATGCTTATTACTTTGATGATCAGCTTTTCGAGAATAAAATTTAAGTTTTGGTTGATTGAGTCTTGCTAATGCTTCTCATGTCTTCATGTGTTTCTAACCTCCAATTTCATGATTTTCTATTCTGATAGAAATAGGACTTATAACCTTAGAATCTGGTCTAGTTAGAAGAGGTTAAGTTAGGTGTGAATTCAGATTTAGAGGAGTTGATGTGAAAGTAGGATTAGAACTCCGACTAGGTGTTGATGTGGATGTAGCATTAGAACTATGACTTAAAGGAATTGTTATTTCCCAAAAACGATCTTCATTTAAGTTATCCCCTTGAAGAGCAGTATTGGGAAAATAAGGATGAGATTCAAAGAAAGTCACATCCTTAGAAATAAACATTTTTTTCTTAATAGGGGAGAAACACTTATACCCTTTTTGTGTTGAGAGTACCTTACAAACACTCATTTAATGGCCCTAGGTTCTAACTTGCCTCTATTCTGAGAATGGACATGAGCATATGCAGTACACCCAAAAGTTTTCAAAGGAAGAGAATTTAGGACTCTAAAGGTGGGAAATGTTTGAAGGAAGACAGACAGGGGAGTATTGAACTCTAAACTCCGAAAAGGCAACCTATTGATTAAATAAGTGGTTGTGAGGACTGCCACACCCCAAAATATTTAGGCATGTTCATGGTGAACATCAAGGCTTGGGCAACCTCTAATAGGTGCTTATTTTTCCTTTCAGCAATCACATTCTGTTGTAAGGTCTCTACACATGAGCTTTAGTGTATAATCCCATGGCTAGATAGATAGTTTCCTAGGATAGAGTTCAAATACTCCCTACCATTATATGTCTTTAAGATCCGAATCTGTGTTTGGAATTGAGTTTTAACCCTAGAATGAGACTTCAAAAAAATCTGACCTGTGTCAGATTTTTCTTTCAAAAAATATACCCAACTTAGTCTAGTGTGTTCATCAATGAGAGTAATAAACCACTTAGATCCTGCAACGTTTGTAACCTTAAAGGGTCCCTAAATATCACTATGGATTAGAGAAAAAGGTCTAGACTTCTTATGAGGATTTGTTGGATACATTGAACGAGGATGCTTTGCAATTTGGTAGATTTCACATTGAAATAATGATGAATTTTTGGTTCTGAATAATAATGGAAACAACCGTTTCAAATAAGAAAAACTAGGATGGCCTAATTGTCTATGCCATAACATTATTTCTAAATTATCAGAAATAGAGGCAAAATTACACCTAGATGCTACAGTTTGATTATTCTCATTAGCCTTCTCATCAAAGTAGTAAAGCGCTCTTTATTCTCTAGCATTGCCAACCATCTTCCTCGAGAGTAAGTCCCAAAGTTCACAGTGGGAAGAAGAGAATATAGCCACACATTTTAAGTCTTTGGTTAGTTTGCTAATGGATAATATATTACAAGACTGGCTAGGCACATGAAAGATGTAATTTAAACAAAGTTTTGGGGATAGTTGGACTAATCCTTTACCAGCTACATTTGACAAGGAACCATTAGCTGTTTTGACCTTAAGGTTACCATAACATGGACTATAAGACACAAATACACTTGAGTTACCCTAACATGTGATTTGAGGCTCTTGAATCTAAAACCCAAAGTCTATTTGTTCCAAACTAGTATTCAAAGTTGTAAGAGAATTGCCAAACTCAACAAATGAACATGAATGACTTAAAGAACTAGAACTGGATTGACTAAACAACTCATTCAAGTGTTGAAACTACTCTTTGCTGAATGGTACAGGCTTGGATGATCCTCAACTTTTAGGTATGTATTTTCCCCAACTTCAGCATGAAATCCCTTACCATTAGGTTTATTTTTCTTCCAATTTGATGGTTTGCCATGTAGTTTCCAACAGGTAGCCTTAGTATGCTTTGGCTGATGACAATATTTACACCAAATTTTCTCTCCTCTTCTAAGTAGTTTTTTATCTCCATTATGATTGGTATGTTTCTCCCAACCCTTAGAAACAAGCGCTAAGGATTCTGATTTTGGTTATGTACTCAGACTGTTGGTTCCTTCTAAATCTCCCATCATCACTTTCCTCCTACTTTCTTCTCATTTTACTTATGCTAACACTTCATGTGTAGAAGGTAAGGATTCTTATCCCAAAACCCTATTTCTCACTTCATCTAGTTCCTTATTCAGCCCTGCAAGGAACTTAAACACTCTCTCCTTTTCTAACATCTTAGTGTACTTCATATTGTCTTGAGAGCAACTTCAATCTACCTCACAGAACAAACCAGCTCTTGCCCCAACTTAGCCAATACACTATAATATTAGGTTACAGACATGTTACCTTGTTTGGTCTCTCTCAGCCTTGATTTTATCTCAAATATATGTGCTAAATTCCCCATCTCTGAATATGTTTCTTTTGTTATTTTCCAAATAACTTTTGTAGTGGGAAGAAACAAATAGAGCTGTCCAATCTCCTCTTCCAAGGAATTGATCAACCAGGCGATTACTATACTGTTCTCAACATCCTACTTCTCATATGCTAGATCATCTTCCTTCAGAGCTTTGGCTGCTCTAGTCAAGTAACCCAATTTTCCTCTACCTCTAACCATCAACTTCATAGCTTGAGACCATGGGATATAATTTTTTCCATTCAATTTGTGAACACTAATTTGAATGGAATTATTATCATTTAACTAAGGCTAGACTCCTGTTTGTCCAAATCTCATATCTGAAGAAGAAATCTATTGATCAGGTGGTGGACTTAGGCTTTTACCTTGCCTACCACCAGTCATAGCTATTTTAACCATCAATTACTATGGCTAGAGAACCTGGCTCTGATACCATGAAATAGAGAAAAAAACTTACTCACTCTTATTTACATTGAAGAAAAAAATATATCATACATCTCTAGTTATAGACTAACTCTAGATATCTTGATAACCCTATGTTAGGATTATCTTAACTTTTAAAATTTTAAAACTACATAATGCCTAGATAACTCCTAAGTTTTCACATTCTAATCTTAGGAATTCAACAAACTTACATTAATCAACAAAGTTTATCAATCAAACACCAAAATCATCTATCATTAGCCAAATAACAAAAATCATCCATCCTCAACCAAACACCAAAAATCATCATCTAAAATGAA